TCCTTTTTCTCTCAGCACCTTTGCTCTTCTGTTTTTTCTGTGACACCACACGCTCCTTGCTGCACTTTTTTGTAGGCCCTTGGCCGCAGAGGTCCTTCCTAAGCGTGAAACCGTTGGACGAGAAACGGAAGACCAGAGGCCCATCTGTCCGAACATTCTTCGTGGACTAAACGGTTCGCTATAAGGAATGGGGAAGCTTGTTTCTATCTCTTGATGAGGAGAGCCCGCGGCGTCAGCGGCGTCAAGTGTCGACATGAGATATGATTTTCCATTCGTTCACCTCCCACTTTCTTCGGCATCCCATTTACCCTCTGCGCGCCTCTTCAATCCCGTGCATGCTTATAACCCTGACAACCGCGCCACCCTTCTATTGACCCCCACTATACTTCGGCCTTTTGCTTTTCCTTGCCGCGCGCACTCTCGACGCACCTAATTTTTCGTTGGCGAGTTTTGGAACTTGGTACCGCCTCTTTCTCTGCTGCCTCGGATGCACTACATTGGATGCCTGACGGTTCCTAATATTGCAGTCATCACAATATAAAGACTGCTGCAGCGTATAATCGATCATAGCGACACGTGGACTGCTGTGCGCACTTGCAGCTGCAGTTGCACGCAAACGTTGTCGGACGTCTCAAGAATGAAATGAGGGAAGCCAGCAGGTGTCGTCAACGTGTCGACTCGTGCAGCCTGTCAGATGGACCTGAACGTCATAAGTGCTTCTTGTGGTCAGAGTGAAAAAAAAAATGAAATGATGGGCTTCAATTTGCTAAGCTCAATTTCTTTAGATCCACACATTTACAAATATTAGGTGCCGGCACACGTTCGTACTAAAATGTAAACTAGAGCAAACCAGAGTTTTTGGAAAGTTATCACATAAACATCTTTTTTTTTCGCTTCATTACGTGTGCCAACATTACCTATCACTTATATATATATATATATATATATATATATATACTTATCAGCTATCATGTAGCGAAGTTAGCCAGTTCTTAGTCTGGCTGGCTTCCCTGTGTTTTGTCGAATAGAGAAAGGGATGACGAATAATGAGAATATAAAAGAGACACTAGACAGAAGAAAAAAAAAAGCACGAACCGAGGGGCCCATCGGCTTACCGCACCATTTGAGGTCGGTCCCTAAGCCCTGTTTTTAAAGCGCATAAATAATTTACACGGCTTCTATTTTCTGGACCCATTCGGCTAGTGCCCCAGGACCTTTTCTTACCACAAAAGACGTTTATGAAGTTTGTCTAAAGTAGAAGAATATTCTTCCCAAGGAGCACTGGAACTAGGACACTCACATGCGAAACAGACAATCGTTTCTTCGCATCTTCTCGCATGTAGGGTTGTTCGCCATTCCAACACTGAACAGAGCAGGCATGGAGCAGGAACAGAGCTACATGTGGCACACAATGTCCCCTCAGCTCGAGATATGGTTGACTGAAGGTCAAGCTGGATACTGGGACCCAAGCTGTGTAGACGAGCGTTGATCGATATTGTCCTTCGATTCCGCTGTGTTCTGTTGTTGAAGCATAAGTTCACGTGCCAGAGAACGAGGCCCTATAACTGCGTCGGTTGAGGAGAACGGTATAGCTGCGGCCTGGTCGCGGCAAATGATGAGCATGATTCTGATCTGGCATGTTCAACGCATGCAGATTTTTCGGCGTAGGGACGACCACAAAGGACTCATTACGGGGACCGGGAGGTTATCGCCGCTATAAGATCTATAGAGTGGGGGGACTTTTCCTACCTTAGCGTGACACCGAGCTTAATAGCTCGGGAAGCACTATTTCGAGAATTTGAAAGTTTACTTTAATATTTCACTTGCTATAAGCCAGTGACCTTTCGCAAAACACTCTGGCATTAAAGAGAAGGCTACTTCATTAAAAAGCACAACGCGGGGTGTTTTCAGAAATCCCGTTTTTAGGTTATAAAAGTGTCCATGCCGATGTCGAATGCTGTGTGTAAGTAAATTAGAGTTGGTAATCCTATCCTTAAGTGCACCGAACGTATGTAGTTGTTTAGTACGGCACTATTTCAAAAGAAATTTGGAAGACATCGTTTTACACACATTTCCTGAAAACATTTCCTAGTGATAATTCAACCACCAGAGAAATTTCATTTTGTTTAGAAGGCTTCCTTTTTTTTATAACCACCTTCTCAGCTTTATTATGGCAGTATAATGTTAAACAATTTGCTTAGCCCAAATATTCGGGCGTGGTACTGGACACCAATTTTCTTGCCAGGGCACTATACAGCAAACTGGCAAGGATAAATTTAGTAATCATACCTATTTGGTTTGGTTTGGTTTGGTTTGCTTTTATTCAAGGCAAAATTCAACAAGATTGCCTTGGGGAACACGGCTAAAGGCTAAGTAAAAGCCTGACTAGGTCGTGCCATCCTGGCAGCAAAGCAGAAACACACCGCAAGCACAGCACTGAGAAAATTATAACATCGCGTGTTATCTTACACGGGCACCATAATCAAACAGGAACCGCCAGAAGTGTGAACAAAAGAACAGAAATACAAACAGTCCTCATTCGAGTGGTGGCAAACACAAAAAAATGCATGCCCTCTGTCAAATAAATTAACAAAAAACATCTTGACTAGGAAATCTAGTTGCTCTACAAGACAAATGTTTTAAGAAAAAAATTCTATTAGTCCTCCATCTTGAGGGTTTGTACGAAAGAATGCGTCTTTGATGGGTCTCTCTGGTACATGTCCACACTATACGAAAAAAAAAAAACTTTCATTTGCTACAGTTGCACGAATCTCCAGTTACTATATTCAGTAACTCATCTGTTTTTAAAAAGCTGCCCTGTTTCAGCGCATGGGAAGTTACATTCGTGTTGTCATTCGTGACGGCCCTTCAGTACTCCCTATTCCTAGTGTTTGTTGGTTCACTGCTCAAAAAGCACAACCAAAAGTAAACATTAAGCTATCATGAAACCTTTTCCAAACATCTCGGCCAGTTTACCGAAAGAATCCGTCCCACTGCTTTGCTCAGACCGGCTGCTCGGACGTAAAATTGTTGGATACCACCGGAAGACATGCCAGCTTCTATTTTTGAGAGATTGCATGAGACTCATTCTCTCAAACCCCATCCCCCCCCCCCCTAGAAAAGAGAACGAACAAAATGGCTCGGTACGACCGTGTGCAAAGAAAGCCCCACGTTCGCCAATAAACACGCCATTTTCGTTCCCCACTTTCCAAAACAGCACTCTCGATCAGCGTCAGCCGGCCGAAGCTCAAATGGGAATAGCGCGCACGCCAACAGTGTTGTTGCGTAACTCATATTCACGCTTGAAGCCTCGGCACCACTTTAGAAGAAGAAACAACGGAGGCGATAAGCAAGATTACTTGAACAACTAAGCAAACGTCAGCGTCCTCTCACGTGTGGAGCACTGTGCCAAAGCAAGGGCAAAAGCAAAATAATTTTTTTTAAACAAGAAAGCATGGCCAATTAAAACCAGCTACATTTACTAAAGGTGCCAGTTAGTTTTGTTGTTGTTTTCCAGCGTCGCAACGCTGCTGTCGAGTTCACTCGCCGTATATTTAGAGTCGCCAGATGTACCATCAGTAAATTCAATCATGCCATATGAGATGTACCATCGTAAATGATGCATCATAGAGGAATCTTCAACAGATCTAGTCAGGGAAAAGGGCATTTTGTGTAGCAATTCAACTTCTTTATTCTACTATATCTTTGAGAAACAGTGGCTTCTGACATTTTGAAAATGTGGTTTACGGGTAAACGTTAACACACCTTCCAGCAACCGTAGATTTAGAGACAAAAATGTTTGTGCTTTTTATACCTCAGATGCAGCCGTGCAATCATTCTCAGCTTTTAGAACGAATGATCATGGATCTCAAGCTTCTAAAAAAAATGGAAAACATGCGAACTTTAAGAGCTCGATGGGTTAGTTCAATATACAGGAGGAAAGGCTCACTACTAGTAGCAGGCGCGTAGCCAGAAACTATTTCGGGGGGGGGGGGGGCGGGGGGGGGCGGGGGGGGGCACCACTTTCATTTCAGGAGGGGCACATCCCTAAAGTGGCCATTTTTCGCTCTCTTTGCCCTGGCGAAAAAGTTTCTTTGGGGGGGGGGGGGCAGGAGCGTGCTTGGTGTGCCACCCCGCGGCTACGCCCCTGGCAGGTAGTAATAGTAGAAGAACTACAGAGAGCAAGCAAAAAAAAAAAACATCCAGCCTTTTTCAGAGGTATTTTGAACATATATCGAATAGGTCATTCACTTCACGCACCTATTTAACAAGTGAATTGGCACTTCTAGCCCGGAGCCCCTGAGATACGTAGTAAACGAAGCGGATGTAACCCTGGCAGGTCGGGAGGGGCACCCCATTTCTATTATGAGCCATCGTCGAAAGCATGGGGACCGATGGCGCCGGGCCGCGCAGACGATGGAAATTGCGGATGTGGAAATGTCGAATATGGAAAACGCCGTCATCCCCAGGCTCACGGTGAAGCTGCCCGAATTTATGCGCCTGAAATAGGAGGACTTATTTAAAAACGTGTAGGCGGGCAGGTGAAGGAACAGGAGAGCAAGAAGGTGTGAGCGAGCCGCGGTCCGAGCTTTTAGCAAAGCGAGCAGTCACCGCGTGGCGCTGCCGTCGCTAGAGCGCGACTCGTTTGCCTATATTGTGTAGCGCACAGTTATCTCGGCTTGAAACAAACGCACGTCAAAAAAAAAACCAGTGGAGAGAGAGAAATGACAGATTGCGGTGTTTCTCTCCCTCATATTTCTCGCGCACGAACACACAGACTTTCTCTCTCTTCCGTTCCTTTCTCCTCTCCATAACTTTCCTCCTTCCCCGGACTTGTCTGCGCGCCGCCGCTCGGCTGACTGTCGCTGCAGTCGCGCGTGCGGCGCGCGCCCCCTGCGAGCTCCGCGGCAGTTGGCGGAACAAAAGAAGAGGGGGAAAAAAAAATGCGCGGCGGCTCAAAACCCGACCTTAGTAGCGTCGCCCGCGACGCTATCGTTTACAGGAGCTCGGCCGCTTTTTCAGTCGCGCCGTGCGTCACCACCGTCACCCACGCAGTCGGCTCGGCGCGCTGCCTGTGTGCAAACCTTTTTTCACGTTTCTTGGAACTCGCGCCTTGGCGGAGGCGGCAGCTTTCATTTTGACGCCCATCACTCAGAACATCAAGTGCTACATACCGGCTGAGGTATTCCTACTTCGACTAAACCAGAAGATAGCGAGTGCAGTGTGCATTCATTTAGCGGTGCGGTTGCAAAGTGAAGAACCAGAGAAAATAGCGAAACAATGATTGGAGTACACGTGTATGTGCGGCGTGGTTCGGAAATGTGCGGTGTTTGTGAACTCGTCTAGAGCTTGTCTAGAGAACGTCTACCACCAGTCTACAACTCGTCTCGGAGCGACATACAGGCGTCGCTCGGGATTCACGCTCCGAAGCCTGAGTGCTCTTTGTGCATCCGAAACTTCGTTGCTTCCGAAGATACGTTATGGTGACATTGATGCCTAGCTGCGCCGTCGTTTGGACGGAATAGTATCCGTGCACCTGAAAGCCGGAACATTGTACGGGTGAGTCACCTGCCATGTAGGAACTTCAGTGTGCGTTATAGAGGCGCATAGAAGGGAGTTACACTCCTGTACTTCGAGTGTCCTGGTTTAGCAAACAAAGCTATGCCCCATGTTTTCATGTAACACTTGAAGTCATTCGTGACTTACTACTTACCCTGCGTCTAAACTGAATATATTAAAGAACAAATTGTCATACAGGGCAAGCTGTTAGCTCAACACTGTAAGTTTGAAATATTTCGTTCATACAGGCAACAACTTGTGGTTCGTCAAGGAGCGGCAAGTGTAATTTTAAAATATGTTAGAGTAGCTTGACACGACGCATTATCAAAGTATCGCGAATCCGTAATTTTTCGTGATTCGTGTACAGCATCCCAAAATATACGACAGGTGGTTTTCCCCAGCTATGGCAATTCGTAACTTGCCCAACAAAAAGGACCGTTAACTTACACTAAATTGAACCAATATTTTTTTTTGCCCAAGTCAGATAGACATATTGATCTACATACAGGACACATACAAACGGTAGACGCTCGCACGAAAACAGAACCGAGAAGGCCTAGGATGAGTTCTGTCACTCATAGATGATGCATTGAGTTTCCGTGACTGAGTATTGCTAGATATGTCCGTTTCAGTAAAGACACTATCCTTCAAAGTTGCTAGTCTTCTCCTCGATGACGGTCTTGTTAGTCCTTCCTCCACCAAAATACCCAAATTGGGCGAATAGCACGGATCGCAGCAGTGTAATTGAAAAAAAGAACGAGGGGACATAGGAAGGACCGACAGAGGATGTCCATCCCTCTGGTAACGCATTTCTCTCCGTACATTCACAACGTATTCTTTAGGATGACTGCCAGTTGGGCGTGTTGGTAAAGGTTCATGATAAAACAAGTGCTAAAAAAATAAGGAATGGAGGGGACAGTTGCGTCAATCAAGCGTCAGTTCTGCTAACATATGCGGAATTTGCTTTTTTGGACGTCATATAACCCAGTGTTTTTTTCTATTTGTTTGTTTTAATGTTTTTTCCTGTTTTTTTCTGGTTTACGTTTTCTTCTCTTAGTTCTTGACACGTGTTTGTTTCCGGTTGTGTGCCATCGATTATAGGAGTGCATATTTTGTTATATCACGTTGTTGATGATGACAGGGGAAGTCGGGAATGACGTACATGCGTGTGATGTATTTCTTAGTGTTCGCTTCGAAATAAAAATTTTAGTTGCTAGTAAGCGCTTGTCTGTGTCCTCTCTGAAAGGGTGTATTTTTAGCGCTTGTTTCATCATGAACGTATCCTTAACGCTCGGCATAAGTGCAGTCGTATTTGCGTGGATACGTGTGAAATAGCTTATTACGAATTTTTAATCTACACATCTATGTTCACGCACAGTTCTCAAGCAACTGTGCCGCGCTGTATTGCAAAAAAAAATATTAATAAACCTCCTCTATCGACAAGCAGTTCGAAGAGCAGAAGGTCACTGCAGGTAATGGATTATAATCAGTCACTCATCACGACATAATATTCAGGCTCACTGCTGTCAAGAAATGAGGTTCGGCCGATCCGCCTTTTGTTATGCCTCTTGTCTTCTGATGCGACCTGCAATCACCGCCAACAACAAGTGCGCCGGATGACTTTGAAGGTAGCGCGAAAAGCAACTTCATTGCTTTTCAGCGCATTTACTGATTTTCAACAGAAGGTTAATATGCAACCATATTTTTCAATAAGAAATGTTTTGCCTGGGGGCAGACTTTCGAAAATAGAAAGTATATGTAGCTGCTAGTGGGTGAATAAAAAAAAGATTCCGTGGAATCTTCGCGAAACCCTCTTGTCCTCCATTTCTTCGTAATAAAGCGAGCTAGCCAATCCCAATACCTGCACTGTCGAAATTGGCCTACAGTGCCAAAGAACACTTACAAATTTCTGGCTCACAAAATTTACACCTCTGATTTGGTAAACTTGATTCCTGTTTGGTCTAATTACGTTCGCACGTTTTGTCTCCCATTTAAATTAGTGCGAAAGACGTCCTTTCATACCACACCAGTATACGTGTTGCTTTATCACTACTTGCACTTACTAATAACCAGACTATACCTCTGAAATACGTCGCAAACATCTGACTTCAATCTTCTCGTCGCTCTCTTCTCTTTCTATTCTTTCTATTCTCCTTCCCTGACACCTAATGTAGGGTAGCAAACCAGAACAGAAGTCTTTCTGGCTAACCTCCTTGCCGTCTGCCTCTTTGTCTGCTTCCTTTCTTCGCTAACTTCAATTTAATACACCACAGTATGCGCGGCAGTGCGCCACGTCTCCAATCTCCGTGAAGTGACAAAAGGCAGGTTTCTATAAATAACGGGTGGCCACCCTACCTCAAAACTCTGTAGGCAAGCGAAGCGCTCACCTTCCTAGCTGTCCAAGTGCTTCTGTTTAGGTCACTTTGCTTTTAAGGGTAAAGTTGGGCTAACTCGACTCGAAACACCAAAAGCAGTGTCGTACACAGGTGACCCCCTAACAGCAAACTGCGATCACATAATTGGCTGGGTCAGTTCGGTTCTAGAAAAAAAGCCTGTGGGTACATAATAGACACGTATACTGTGCTGGATGCATCTCATAAACTTTGATTTGTTTTTTTTTTTAAGTAGAGTGTTCTGTAATAATTTATCTTCTTGTCTGCCTGCAGACACACTCGAGTCACCCGGAGCACTTGTTCGCTGTGATTAATTGAGCTAGATTTCTGTTTCGTCTCGAGCAGAAAGGTCATAGGAGCTTCCTACTGGGGGATCTAAAAACACGCCAACATTGATAAAAGTGATCGGGATGCTGGGGTTACCGTGAAAACTTTTCCTAATCCCAGTGCAAGGTAGCATACCGAATCCTAGCATCTGGTTAACCTCCCTGTCTTCTTTTTTTTTTATTCGTTTCTTTTTCTCGCTGAGCAGAAGCCTATACGGATTCATGGAGATATGACGTTGCGCAGCACTGAAAACAATAGAGCCGTGGCTCTTATAAATACTGTACACATCTGGACTGTAAGTTGCGGTGTTTCAAGCATTGCAAGAAACCTGTGCATTTTATATAATCTGCACTTTGTGTCACGCGTTTATCATTCTTGGCTTTTATTTTCTGTCGCTAATGCGCAGTACAGAGGCATCACTTTAGCCGCTTAATTTTTTGAACATCTGTTCGCTATAATTTTCCGTGGTCCCGTGTTGTTTTGTTGTCGGTCATTGGTACCTAATGACGCTTGGCAGGCTTCCCTGAGACCAGCATGCCTGAGAACCCCTGCTTTAGGTCATAAGGGACGTTTAACGTGAATGTCCTCTTCAGGCAAAGCACCCTTACAGTATACAACTTTGTTATTGATGCAATGTCGTGCCGGCAACCGGTGCATGTGCAAGCTGATAAAGAACTCACATTGAGTAGATTTCGGTGGCGTTTGCATACTTCTTGTGCAAGCGGGAATCGAGAGTGACTCGAAGGTATGAAAAAACTACAGTTTACAATATCTTAGAAGCATTTGGAATAAGGCAGAAGCCCCTACCTGTCAATAGCCGCTGTACTGTTGCATGACGCCCTATACGATACGCCGAAATCTCATTCATGCATCCACGACATCATGTGCTTCGACGTGTCATGGACTCATTTTGCGGTTGCTGTGACCATGGACCAAGCCAAACTGCTGGTCATTAGCCCCTCAGCCCTGCATAGATGGAACTTGACGATGGGGGCGTCCTCTTAGCCAACTCAGCGACAACATTGTGTAAGTGTTGTTTGGGATCAGACAGGCGGCTGACCATTGAGACGAGGGACGAAAGCGTGTTCTAAGATCAGGAGGCTACCCTGTCTTTTACAATAGGTTACCGATAACATCCAACAAAATACTTTTTCTCGACCGGACGATATTCAGCCATCTGTAATTTGAGCGCAGCACCCAGATTGACAGTTTAGCGCGGTATCAGAGCTCCAGCATGCACAGTTATAATCTTTCAGTAACTTCTGTGCCTTTACCCGCACCATTGTTCATCAGAATGCATGATCATCTCGCTCATTTGCGCTCTATAAAAAAATGAGTAGTTACAGCTCTTTCTGGTGAGTCTCCGCATTAACTCTCTCATGGAGAGTGATGCCTAACACGTCTCTCCAAAGAAAGTATAACGCTCCACAAAGAGAGTCAACGTGCATCTGTGAAGTGAGTTATATATGGGTACACTAGAAACTCCCCAAAATAAGTAAAACTACTCTCTCTGTCTCGTTCTTGGAGTATAGCCATCTTTGCTGTTCTTTTTTTGCCTCTTCCATTGCCGTAAGATTTATTTTGGCGTACCGCTTCATTCGTATTTCAGGCGTGAAATATTTGTTCTGAAAGTGTCCTGTTCAATTAAAAAGTTTTGCCTTTGAAGCCTGCAGCTGAAAACTTTCTCCTTTGAACATGCATTCGGGGTCGCATATTACCATGACTACTCTTTCGGACATTCGTGTCCTTGTAGTTCAAAAATGGTCGTAAAACCTTACTTTCATGAGTCAACTTAGAATCTACATAGAATCTACGTAGTAGCTTTCACCGGAAAATCTATGTATGTATGTATGTATGTATGTATGTATGTATGTATGTATGTATGTATGTATGTATGTATGTATGTATGTATGTATGTATGTATGTATGTATGTATGTATGTATGTATGTATGTATGTATGTATGTATGTATGTATGTATGCATGCATGCATGCATGCATGCATGCGTGTGTGTGTGTATGTATGTATTGTATGTATGTATGTATGTATGTATGTATGTATGTATGTATGTATGTATGTATGTATGTATGTATGTATTTATGCGAGCGAAATGATGCGTTGGGAGGAAAGATCAGAACAGGTGTTTTATTTAGCGAAAATAGAACATACTCCCTCTTTTGCACAGACAAATGAGGACGTGCGTTGTCTCGCTGCAACAATGGTGACAATGAATACCATTCAATGAACGTCGCTTCGCAGTTACGAGACAGTGCTTGTGAA